TTTATTTTTTCTTTTACTTATGCATTTATTTAATTATTTATTCTTTTACTTATTTATTTCTGTATTTATTTATGCATTAATGTACTCATTTATTTCTAATTAAGTCATTTTTCGTCCTCCATAGTAATGTGCATCTACGACATTACGTAGAACGTTTTTTCCCCACTGACATTAGTGACGTCAGTCCGACATGGCGGCGCACTTAGCACGACGTTGTTGTCCATTTTGTCCTGGTGCTGCAATGATTTTGTTTCCACAGAATGTAAAACTACGGGGTGTTGGAATAACAGATTTTAACAACGCTTTGCAACCGAGTGTTAGTTACGGGACACGAGAGACAGACACGACCCAGGTACGTTAAACGACATTAGCAAATGCACTCATGTTAACTTGGAGCTGCCTTACTCATATGCTAGAAATCAAACAGAGCCATTGGCATGCCACTCATGAGTTGAACTGCCATAAATATAGAGTAAAAGTTACATACTGTTAATCAGGTTATAACTTTTAACTCCATAATATGGGCAGAACAAATGAGCACCCATGTTTTTACTTTTTCAGGAGACACGGGTGCACATTCCAGTGGGTAAATATACAGATGGATAACTATTAATACTTTAATGAGGCCATTTTCTTTCAGAGTTTTTATTCAACAGGTTTTTTTCTCCCCTTGGCTCTTAGACCGACTCACCATATCTTACAGCAGAAGCAGCGGTCCTGGTGGTCAGCATGTCAATAAAGGTTGACAAAGTTCCACTTTTTTCTTTGTAGGATCATCCGTGGTAGAATTTAACATACTCTATATTACAAAGTGACAAGTGACTCCTGAAAGCTTGTTCAAGGCCTTGAATCTGTTCTGTCATGCAAAATATAGTCCTTTGTTTTTCATATGTGTAACACATCTTAATCCATAGTCAGCACAAAAGCAGAGGTCCGATTCCATGTACAAACAGCAAACTGGATCCCAGAAGATGTTCGACAGAAAATCCTTGAAAAGGTGTGGCATCAGTAAATACATGGGAAAACAGTCATTACAAAATACTCTAATACTCAAATGAGAGTTATGTACATGTTTCCAGTTTAGCTTTTTCATTATTTTCTCCTTAGGCATCATTACATTGTCAACAAGAAAAGCAAATTTGTATGTTTTTAATTAAGTTTTAAATTTTTAAGTTTTATGATCTCAGGGTTTACTGATATTTCATTGTGAAACTGTAAACATTCAAGCCAAGTGTATTAATTTTCAACTTAATGGCACAGAACAAAAACCGCATCAATAAGGCTGGAGAGCTGCTGGTGACCTCGGAGGTGAGCAGAAATCAGCAGAGAAATCTTTCTGACTGTATACTGAAGATCTCTACCATCGTAGCTGAGGCCAGCAAGAAGCCCCATGAACCAACAGAAGAGGACATAGCTCTTAGGACAGCCAGGTCTTACCAAGTAGTAGAGCACACCGTTTTGCTGTCCACTTTATTTGTCTTAAGCATGAATTTAATGTGAAATATGCTGCACAGGTTAAAGAAGATGAACAAGGAAAGACTCAGACAGAAGAAGATCCAATCAGCAGTCAAACAAAGCAGACGACAGGATTTTGACTGATTGTAAATGTTTGTTCCTACCGTCATTGTTTAGTCAGTGATTGCATTGAATTTATATTAGCCTTTAATTCTATGTAAGACTGAAGTCAATTTTTTTCTTAATAAATATCAGAATTATTCAGTGATATGAGATGTTTTTACTTTTGACTGGAGAAGATAGTATGGAGAATGGAAATTGACTTATGTAGCCAAAATATATCTAAATAAATGTATAATTGACTACAGAACAGAATTTGTTTGTTTGTACTTTATTTATTTCTGTATTTCTTCCATTGTTCATTTATAAATTCATTTGTTGCTAAATATTAAATCCCAAAGCTCGGGAGTGGGCAAAAGTAAAAGGTTAGTAAGAAGATACAGAGAGGAAGGGGGAAAACATTTAGCAGAGGATGGTTTCGATCCATCGACCTCTGGGTTATGGGCCCAGCACGCTTCCGCTGCGCCACTCTGCTCGCTTCAATGTGTTCCTCATAGTGTAATATAACGTTGATATTAGCTCAAATCTATAGCGTATGTTACACAAACGATGATTTGGTTAGGAATAAAGACATCACTACATTACGTTAATGCATAAATAAATACAGAAATAA